ATAGATTTTGTACTCACTTTGATATTTAGCATTTCTCCCATGCCAATCTTCACCAAGCTTCGCAGGCTCATCTCATCAACATCAGCGTCACTCATTTCCCTGACCACATGTGCCATCACTCTCAACACTCCCGCATGATGGCTTCCAGGTCGCTGCACCATGTCAGTTCCAACATTACATCCAAAGCAGAGTCATGCATGAACAAAGAGAAGCACACGAGCCTGCCACTTCCACACGCGCACGATGCACAAACACATGCATTGTACACCCGCCACCGCATAGCAGTCCATGTCTGCAGGCCTGGCACCAGTAAGCAACAGTTGTCCCAACAAGACTCCAACCGTCCAGAGCTTATCATCCATCCAATGTCATTCCCGATCTCCAAACAAATGAGTGCCCCTAACTTGGCAGGTCCTTCACCACTGGGGCAGGGAAAGGGCACCTAGTATCATTGTCATCGTCATCATCATCACCCTCATCATCATCATGTTTTTGTGTGTTTGTTTCTTCTTTTTCACTAGAGTTGAAAAACAAGGGCTGGGAAAAGCCGTGGGAGTGGGTAGGGTCGTAACCGCCCAAAAGAGTGTTGCACTGTTGCATCACTAAACACTGGTAGGCCCCTCACCATTGGGGCAAGCAAAAGGCACCTGTCATGATCATCATCATCATCAAGAAACGTGTCCTTCTGTGTGTGTTCATTTCTTCTTCTGTTGCACCGTAGTTGAAAAACAGGGGTTGGGAAATAGTCGGGATTTAATTGGCCAATCTGCCTTTTTCAGTTCAATCCTAGGTGAGTGAGCGAGTAGGATAGTAACCCCTTTCCCATGATGATCATCATCATCATTTTCTCCTTTTGTTTCCTCCATGGAGTTCATATGCAGGGGCTGGGCTGACCCAGCTGCAAACAAATCATGGGAAGGAACACCGTTTCCTCAGTTTCTATCCTTATGGCTAACAGTAACAAATTGACCACCTGAAAGGACAGAAATATCCCAACCAAGAAGGACCTGGTACCTGGACGTTCTGACAGGGCCCGTCGAGTTTTGGCCTCTCCAAGATGCTCAGGGATGTGCATATGCACCTCTGCCTCTCATACACTTATTCCTTCCTCTTCTTCTTCTTCTTCTTCTTCTTCTTCTTTTTCCTCGTTCTTTTTCATTTTTTCTTTGATCCTGTTCAATTCACTACCTAGGCTACACGCCGGGCAGCCCGGGTCCCGGGTGGCCAGCCCGTGCAAGGACCAGGGAGGGTCCCAGCAAAAAAACAAAAAGATCCAAAAATTCCGAAAAAAAACTATGTTATGCAGAAAAATAAATTGAATAACTTTTGCCTCAGGGTCACATCGAAATTCTTCACCAAATGTAGAATAAAAAACAAAATTGAAAAAATATATATATTTTTAATTTGTTTCGGCCCGGCCGGGCAAGTGACCCCGGGCCACTCTGGTAGCCTAGTTCACTACGCAAAAAGACAACTTTGAGACAATGCCATACTTGGCAGGTCAAGAGGAAATGGAATTAGACCAGGAGAAAAGCAGAATGGGTGTGTATCCGTGTATAGTCGTGTGTCTGTGAAGAATACTATTGTGCGACCAAATGTTGCAAGAGCAACATATTAGCTAGTTCAAAGAACTGAACGGAAGGATGCGTGAGTGTGTATATGACGTATGTGAACTCTTGACTTGCCATGGGAATAGGAACCGGACTGACGCTCTCCAGAATGGAGAATGAGTCGGGACCATAAGGCCCTGTTTAAAAAAAAGGAAGACAACAAAAGTAAGATGACATGTGAGTCAAACGTAACTACTCTTTTTCCTGTGCACTACATGTACAGTCATGTGTGAGTCACGAGCATCATTATGCGACCAAATTTTGCAAAGCAACATATTAGCTAGTTCGAAGTATTATTGTGTAACAGTGCAAGTCAAAAGCAAGATAACACGTGGATCACCGATGCTCCCCATAATGGATACAGAGTCAGAACTGCCAGGCTCTGTTTCTTTTTTTTTTTTTTTTTTTTTTTTTTTTTTTTTTTTAAAAACATATAGGTTAAAAGTAACATACTCTTTTTCCTGTGCGCAGACTAGCTTTACAATACTCGAGGATGGTCATCGCATGCCTGCAAGGATGCAGCAGAGGACATGTTAGAAATCCAAACCACATCAAACATAAAAGACACAAGGTTAATGGAAGGCCCAAAATTCAGGGTTGTTCGCCGCATCACTACAAAAGAAAACGCAAGAACGCCCATAGGATCACGTATACAGACGATTTATTTTTAGAATTGAATTAATTTCGCCAGACGATGGAATACATACGTATATGACCTTTCCCGGAGAAGGATTGAGTTTGTGAGTGAAGTGAGACCCGTGACATTGTATTCAAATCTATATACAATACATACTCCAATTGGCATCAATGTCGTTGAAAATTTTGCGAACAAACTATGCAGGCTCATAATACAAACATCAAAAAACGAAACAGGCAATGAAAAAACAGGAAAAAAAAACTCAAAAGCTAGTTTGTTTTTCCGGGCACCTGGGCACCTGCGAGGCACAAGGCCTCGGTAAGCCCTACTGGGAAGGCAGACACCCAACTTGTGCCCGGATACACAAGTATGGAGTGTGGAGTGAAGATGAAGGCAAAAGAGGATAAGAAAAGGCTCAAGAATGAGTCTGTCCTTGACGACAGAGAGGACATACATTGTAAGGATGACGTGCATGAACACATGGAAGACCTAGCTGAGCATTCTCAGTGTAACAATTGCCACGACGGGTGCCATTGAGCATGCCCGCCATACACCCCCGACAAATGGCATGTCGATTGCAGGCCAGAACGGTCACCACAAAAGAGCATGCATTCAGTATAGCGCCCATGGCCGCAAAACGGACATATAGTGTCCGGATGCGCAAAATGGACATATAGGGTGCCTGCAGTCAGGAACGGTGGGGCAGTCCTCTGCACACATGGATGCAGAAACCATGTCAATTTAGTGATTGTGACACGGACGATGGCGGCTACAGCCGAGTGTAACAGTGTTTGTGGTTGTGCAAAGGAGAAGGTCGCAGAGTGTTGGTGCATTGTCTTGCTGCAGCACGGGGCCAGAGGAATGATCTTCGACATAAAAGAGATTGCGGACGGTTTGTTGCGGCAAGAAAACAACATCATTTTGTAAGRAATCAGTGACATCAATCATGGCATGGACCATGGTGCCGTTGTCCCACAGCTCCCAGTGGTCAGAGGCATGTACAATGGCCATGTAATGGCCAGGGCCGTGCACAATGCAGGCAGAGATGTGGGATGGAGGATTAAACCACTCACCTGCTCGATCATTGCGTAGTTCAAGTTGACGGTCCCTCATTGCTACTTGTAGGACAGCAATGGTAAAGCCTCCTTCGGTAGTATAATTGCAATCCTCTGGCTGCCGTTGGGAAAGATCAGCATCAAGCTGAAGGGCGATTGCAAGGAAGTCTGATGGTGTATAAAACGGGCGATGGAGACTGTGAAGACAGATATTAGTTGCTGTCAAACCACAGAGATTGGTGAGGTTCTCAGGCTGGTTTGTTGGATGCTGGCCAACAATTTGCAGAGCACCCAGATGGTGTTGCAAGCCCAAACTGTGTTGGGTTGTTTGCTGGTCAGTCGTTTGCAGATCACCCATGTGGTCTGCGTGTGGCGGAGCACAAAATTGTGTTTCATCCGCACAATGCTGGTCAGCCACTTGCAGATCCCCCATGTGGTCTACGCCTTGTGGGGTCAACTGCGATCCGGGCAGATCATGTTCCAATCCCTCAACGTTTAGGGCTGCATCCTGAGTAGGGACATATATATATATATATATATATATATATATATATATCGTCAAATAGAACTGCCCGGTAAACCGTAGGCAGAGAGGGAGAAGAGGACAACAAAC